AAGCAACTTCACTTAAATTAGCAGCACTTCAAACCGCTGGGGTCTGGACGCACTTCCTCCTGGTCCCCATCTGCAGAAAAATCTGCGCTAATTCATCAGTCAGTTGGATCTGTCTGATCCAAACAGATCAACTGAACTCTGAGTGTTTTACCCTGTCCGGTGTGCGCTTTTACCAGGATTATTTATTTATTTATTTATTTATGTGGTTTCGCTTCTCCGAAACGGACAGATGTTACGTCTGCAGCTCCTCCAGAGTGCCACTCTCCTTTGTAACGTGCACCAAGAAGGCTCCATTTGTTAAATCCGCTGGATGAGTTACTTCCAGCGGTTTCTAATTCTTCGCAGCGGCGGAGCCTCGTCCGCAGTGGTTGAGCAGCGGACTGCGCATGTTACAATCTAATTAACTTTTTGCATCGTCATTTATTTCCTCAAGATAAACTGCCGGCTCCTCAAATGGATTAACACAACGTTGCATTCTCTAGTTTTCTCTGATCTGTAATGGAGACTTGAATTTAACGCGCCATTTCAACCAAAGGTTTGATCCGCTTCCTAACCAGTCGCTCCAAAGCGTCCGGTCCATAACTCTTCAACACGCTGTCAGCTCCGGTCAGAAAGACGCATTTAGTTCAGAGTCCATGAGATGATATTCAGAAAGGATTTTTTTAATTAATTGATTTCAGTTGCCTCTGAGACTAAATCTTTGCATAAAGTCTATAATGTCTGCCCATGTGACTTGTTTTTATTATTTACCTTTAAACACTGATTTAAATATTGCAGTTTTTAAACTGAGCAGTAATTTTACATCCATGGAAACTCAAATGTAATATTTAAAACTTCAATACAAAATCAGTTATTTAACAATATGAGGTGGTGTTTAATTTATTTTTAACATTGTATTTTTATACATTTATGCTAGGGGTGCCCAAGTCTAGTTTTCCAGAGCTATTCTGCAACTTTAGATCCATTCCTTCTCTAACACACCTGGACCATTGACTCATTATGAGCCTCTACAGAAGTGAATGAGGGAAGTCAACCTTTTATCTGGGGTGTCTTTTAGCAGCGATGCACTCCTGATTTGTACCGTCAATGTGACCCGTTGAGGGGGGCCAATATGCTGAAGTGGCCTTCGGTGAAATTGAGTTTGGCACCCCTGCTGTAGAGGGAAGGTAATCTAAAATAATCTCACTATCACAGCTTTAGTCAATGTGAACTAAATATTTTCCTTAATTGTTTACTTGCCCTCTTTAATGTGATTTTATATCTGATTATATCTTGTCTTTGTTGTAGAGAAAGATACATTGTTGGTTTCACTTCACTTTCTGAAGACTTAGTTTGTTTTCACCAAAAGTTCACCTAAAACAGACACAAGACCTCCAGTTTTTGCTAAGTTTCATAAGTTTTACATTGAAAGAAGCTAACAGTAAAGTTACGACACGGTTCTGCTCATGGTGGACAACATCCAATTGTTTTCTGCTGTAATTTTGACTCCATTATTCCACAAACTTTTAAACAATAATTTAAGGATTTAAGAATGTCACAAGTGTAGTTTGCTTTAAAATATGCTGCAATATGTTTATATCGCCTTTAAAACCCATATATATGAAAGCCATCATACTGACTTTATTCCAACCCGCAATATCCAGTCATTTGGACATTTGGAAGCATTGTAGAGTTACTGGTTATTGTTAGGTAAAAATATCTTAGTAGAAGAGTTTTGTGGTATTTCTTTTTGCTTTCCAGAAAGGAAGGGGCCTGATCGATAGAGAAGATCTGTGGTCAGTTTGTCGTGAGTTCAACCTGACCCTGAATGGCAAACTTCTGGATGATCTGATGGAGTACTGCGATGAAGACAAAGATGGATTCCTCAACTTCGTGGAATTTGCAAATTTTCTAACTTATAAGGACATGATGCCCATCCGCGGTCAGTGAAAGAAGACTTAGGCTCAGCTTTAAACCACATACTATCTCTCATTATGTCCCTTGCACAGAGTTAAAAATTTATTTTTTCATCTCTGACTCAGTTTTAAGTTTTTGGTGTTGTTTCTTTTCTCCTGCAGAGACTCATTTTGGATTACCTCCAATCAGCATGAATGACATGATTTCATCAGATCTGCCTAAATTTATTCCCTCACTGGCCTTGTATGGGCCTGACGACCTGGTGCCAGTGGAGCCAGGCAGCTCAAAGAATATCATCAGGACCATCAGGAAACCCAGACGAGATGCAGACTACGTGTCTTCCACCAGTGAAGAGCTGCCCACATCTAGTGAGTCCAGAGCAGGGCTTTTGGTTTGACCGATACTGAGTATTTACTCTAGACAAAGTGCTAATTTAATTATTAGTCATTGACTTAAGCAAAGACTTAATAGTAGTAGATAGGACTAAGCAATAAATTAATAAGGATATATGACGCGATAGACACATAATATGAAAAGTTTGATAGAATTTTCAATCCAGAACCGCACAGCATTCTGGGGGATGTAGGCATAGGAAAAGGCTTTAGCTGCTCTACCTCTCACACCTAGCTGACAAGCAAGATTAGTTCCACGAACAAACTCCACTCACTCTTTGGTTACCTAGCAACCACTTGCTCATTCTTTGGTTGCTTAGCAACAACCTGTTGAGTTAACTTGCGGAGCAGCAGTTTAAGGTTTCGCCACCATGCCTCAAAACTGCTTAAAAATAAATAAAAAACAGCGGAGTGAAAACTATGGAGGTCACACCGCCAGTTTGCCAGTGTTTCAGATATTTAAAACAAGAAATTAATCAATAATCATTGATATTGACTGATATGAAACCCTAAAATGGAGTAATTATATTTTACATTCCCAACTAAAACAAAAAACCCCCATCACAGTATTTGTTTATCACTGGAGGAGACAAAGGATGAACTAATCAACCAAATTTATGTTGACCTAATTTTAATTCTATTTGCAGATTCCGTAACTGATCAGTTTCCTTGTTTGAATCATTTCTTTTTCAGGTGGTCGCATCTACGGGATCCCATCCATACGCTACGACCTTCTGCCTCCACTCGTCAGACGAATCAGCGACAGGACGGACTACGGGGATTTAGCCACACTTCCAGAGCTCCTGCATCCATCACTGCATGATTTCCATGGAGTTGACGCGAAGCATTACTTCGGTCCTCGAACCAAGCAGGAGGTGAGCCGCAAACACAAAGTCATTTTTTGCTTTTATCTTTTATATTCAGGGTCGGGTATAACTAGTTACATTTACTCAATTACATTTACTTCGTCTTGCTGTACTCTTTGACTCTTTTTAACCTCTCCATCGCAGATTGAGGAGATTTTCAAAAATATCGGTGTGAACATTTCTGACGAGATGTTTGAGGAGGCCTGGAAGCTGACGTCCATGAAGAAACCCAGCGGGGAAGTTTCTGTCGAGCTTTTCCGTCAGACGCTAAAGGAACTAAATGCAATTTAAATTTTTGTAATCATACAAAGTGTTGTACGATTACAACACATTGTTGGGACAAGCCCCTTCTTGTCAGAAGCCGCCAGAACTGGTGTCAAAGCCGCCAGTTCTTCTTCTTTTATAGACGTATCTGATTAAATCTGTCCTATAGCTTTTGAGACACAGACCTCAAAATCTGTAAATTTAAATAAAAAGTATAAAGCACAAATAATTCCTGAATTCAAATGTTTTCTTCAATCGGAGCCAATCTGAACTAATAAAACTGAGTAATTTGTTTAAAATTGGAAGTGATATATGAGGACCTGAATGAATGAAAAAAGTTTTTATCTGGAGATCTGATTTTCTAAAATGGATGTAAAGTAACATTATATTAAATTAAATAACCTTCTGTCACTTTTCAAGGTTTTTCCCTACAAATGAATAAACATTTCAATACGAGTAAAATATTATGCATTAAAAAATTAACACTAACGTGATAAATTAGTATTTTAGCTGAATGTGTGGATTTCAACTAAAATGTGTGATGTCCTCAATATTGAGGGTTTATATAGTTTTAAAAATGTGATACAACACAATTTCTATTAACTGTTGAAATAAGAAGAATAATATATTAGTCAATTCATCAATGCTGCCAGCAGAAAAAAGAAAATTAAAAACAACCCTTAGCATGATGCAGCCACCACCATGCTTGACAGATGATAGCGTGTTTTTTCTCGTCTTGTATTTATTTTTTTTGTAGGTATATTAATTTCAGAAATTTGAAACTAAAAGTGCAACTCATCTCATTACACACTGCGTTATATTTTGTGTTTGTATATGTGTTTTCGATGATTATGACAGAGATTCTGAAAACCCCAAAGTAAATTTCTCAGAAAAGGGAACGGAGCCGGAACTTAAAAATATAATAATTTAATTTGTTACATCCAATCGGATTTATTTACGTTCGTTTAACATGACAACTTGATTACATGTATAAATTTTTTAAAACGTTGGATCACTTGTTTTCTTTTTCAATGCATAATATATCAAAAGACCAACAAAAATTGACTTTTAATTCAATAATTTGTATGTTATTCCTTAAAGGTTTATGGAGAACACATTTTGACATTATATTAACCAACGTTAAACTGAGTGAGACAGATTAATCCCATTAGAAGGGTTGGATTAATTAAATTAAAGACGCTGGGGGGCACCCAGCAGCGACTAATCTAAACGAAAAAAAAAAAAAAATTAACAGTTAGAAACTACGAGAAAACGTCAGCTTTTGTGTGCTTCAGTGATTCACAGGCGTGCTAAATTCTTCCGAGTCTTGACATGAGCCGGGCCAGCAACACTCATTTAATCTCATTACGACTCCACCAGAGGTTCAGCTGGAACCAAAAAATAAAAAATAAAAAACCCACGCAAACTTCCAGAGACAGAAAAATTAGACTAATCCTCCATGTCTGCCGTTACGAATGAATGAAGGAGCTGTTAATGACAGCAACCTTTCTGTTTCCCTGGGCAGGTTTTTGTTTTTAGTAATAATGCAGGAGCCAGTTTGAAGAATGCAATGAGACACAGTATTCAGAAACAGGTGACGCATTTCTAATATAATTTAAGAGCCAATGAGGAGAATTCATCAACCATCAGATGAAATAGTGATTGGAATATGTTCTTGAGCCTAAATTTTCTCTCTTGCAAAAAAATTACATTTTTAAATTTTATAGCACAGTAGCATCATAAAAAACATTACAGATGCTAAAAAAGATGCATTTATTGGGTGATAAGGTATTTGATGGACAACCCACAAGTAAGAATTGATTATGCGACCATGTAGCATCCAGATTAATCAATTAATTTAAATAATTGATCAAACATCCATCTACAGAATCCCAGGAAAACATGGCGTATTTTTAAAGGACTGACCTTTTGAAAGAAGCTAGTTATGAACATTTGAGGAGGACTAGTGAAAATGTAACAAAAACTTACACAGAACAGAAGAATTTTTGTTTTTTACTTTTGAAAATCTGGAGGAAGTTGAGACTAAAAAGTATGCAGATTTATTTTCCCACCAGGACTTGAACGAATCAAAGCAATACTTCGTTTTTGATGAAGGAATAACATTAAAATATAATGTAAAGCTAAGAAAGTCTAATTTTTCCCATTAAAAACCTGAATTAAATCAGTCACTTTTCAATGAGATGACTGTATTAATTTTGGATGATATTTTACTGAAGTTGAAGTTTCCAGATGACTCAGCAGTAGTTATATTGATGTCTGCGTTAAAAACTTGTTGACAAAGGAAAGGAAAAAAATTAATGGAAAAAGAGATGCTGAGAGTTCAAGAAGAAAAACTGCAGCTTCCTCTTCATGAGAGGAAAAACTGTGGAGATGATGTCTGCAGATCTCCAGCGCCCTCAAGTGGGCAAACAGCCGCAGCATCATCAGTAAATGCTAAATCCTCCTATTTTCACACTTTTTAGCTAACGTTTTGTGAAAGAACACACATCCTAACACCATTCAACAGAAATGTTCTTCAACATGCACATAAATCTGATCAGAAAGTTTGCCAGAATTTGTTTTATTTGTCCTTCGAAGTTATTTTGTTTAACCAAGAAGTTGTTTTTCCGGACATTTACTGCTGTTGCTAGTTCTGCTCCGCTGCGCTTGACGGTTAGTGGTTACCGTAGCAACCAGTAACTGATAGCTCCGCCCCCTTTTTCTGTCGCCGTTCTGTAGGATCATCTCTGTGTTTTCTTTACAAAATATTATATTTCAACACACATTTTACACACACTTTATTATATACAGTATTTCATGAGTAATTTTACTATCTTTGGTATACGTTTTATTAGCTATCTTACAAATGCTAACTGCTGCTAACTGCTCATTGGGAGCTATTGGGTAATTTATTATATTTATTTAATGTGTAGGGGCAGAAGCTGCTGGACTGGTGTTAACCATCAACTTGATTTCCTCTTTAGTTAGAATACAGTGAACCTGAACGTGTCTGTCGTGAAGTCAGCCTGTAGACGAACACAGAAGAAAATGCTGAACTCTCGGTTTGTTTCTTTGTATTTTTAACGCTTTAAAAAACAAAATTGAATGATATGTTTTTTATTCTCTTGTTTTGTTAACAGTTGCATCAAAGTGACGTTCTTTCACTTTGTTATGTGGTTTAGTAGCTTGTTTCGCCTCAAATGTTTCTAAAGGTCAGATTTTCTTCTTCTTAAATGCAGCTTCCTTGTTTTTATTTCAGCACTTAGCAAGCTCCACAGGTAAGCCATGCATATTTATTCTAAATGTATGTATTTTCACACATTTAAATGCAAATATGCAGCTGCCCCCACATTTGTTGGCACCCAAAGATGTGAAAAAATACATAAATAAAAGGCTCAAGTTAATCTTTTACTGCAGAAACATAATCTCAGTTTTTTGTAGAAAAATTCATGGTAAATTCCTTAGAGGGGAAAAAAACTCCCATTTTAAAAAAACCTACAAATTTCACTCAAATGTAACTGAAGCAGCTTAAACTAACATCTACTGATTAGTTTAGCTAATAATTAGTTGAACACAAATTTGAAATTTTCTTCCCACATGGTCAGTTGATCATAATTATTAAAAAAAAAAAAAAAGAACAAGAAAAAACCCCCCAGAAAGTTAAGGTACCTGGTCATAACGCAGCAGGACATTGGGAATTTCCCTCATTTGAATTCAGAAATATCAAACTGTTCACAATGGGAACACAACAAAGGGCGCACACATATTTCAAAGACACTGGATATTCATTTTAATAAGTACTTTTGTTATAGTTTCTAGTGCAAATATCTTAGTAGCTTAAATGAGAAAACTAACAAGTAACTTTTCAGTTAAAGGGCTTGTTTAAGTAAATAATTCCTTAATATTAATGGAAAAAATGCTAATTATGAGTTAAATAATCTACCAGTGGATCTAGTACTTGATTTGGTTTGTCTTTTTTCCAAGTGTACTAAGATGTTTGCACTAGAAACTAAACCAAAAATACTTGGTAAGATTTTGTGTTTCAGCTTCGATTTTATCTCAAATAGGTGACTGTAGTTGATGTTAAAAGAAAATATGATGTTTCAACTGGACAATGACCCCAATTTGTACTGATTTTAGAAGGAATTAAACAGGTTAATGTAAAGATTTTTTAAAATATTCAATGTCTGCCAGTGGAACTAGCACTTTTTAAAATCAATATTAAGTAATTATTACTTAAAACAAACTCGTATACCTAGCTAATAAGTTAAGTTGAAGTTAGTTTTGTCTTATTTAGAGTTTACCAAAATATTTGCACTACAAAGTAGACCAAAAATGGAAAAATGGTAAGATTTTGTGTTTTTGCGGTGTATGAAAATATCTAACCAGAACACCAGTTCTGTATATGACTTCAGTATATTTTATCTGAGCAGCAGAAGTAATTTCTGTGCCAACATCAAGGTGCGTAAACAGACTTAAGGCTGCAGCAGCATTATGAGCTACATTAGTTGTTATATGGGATCAGAGACAGCAGGAAGTGTAAAAATAAAGCTCAGGAGAGGCATATTTAGATCAAGCAATTTATTTATACAAAATAATAAAACTCAGTCGTCCTGAGTCACATTCTAGACTTTGGTAAAATAGTTTGAACCAAATCATTCAGAATGGAGTAAAAAAGAGAAAGTTGATTTCTTTTCAGTTTATGGCTCTATGGGTTGTTTTGGGGATTGCATACTTAATTATCTGATGAAATTTCAAATGGGCTTCTGTTGGTAAAGTCATAAAAAAAGAACAACTAACTTAAAGCAGTGGAGGCAAAACTGTTTGTGGCAACATTTTGTTGTGGAGCGCTGAAGGCATCAAGGGAATAATTCAAGTAGGATATGGGTTTGTCTAGCTTTGCATATAGGAGTGTAAAAGTACACAGTCTTGAACAGTTCTTAAAATAAGGTAAAAACAACAACAGATGAACAAAATTTACATTTCAGATCAATATTTGCAGATGCAGCGTCTGTCCCATTATACCTGCTTGGTTGCTACTTTTGAGATTCATCTCTATCCCCAGACCAGCTAAATCAGGGGTGTCCAAAGTACGGCCCGCGGGCCATTTGTGGCCTCTGGACAATTTGAAAGATACATATTTGGCCCCCAGGACAAGTACTTGACATAAATGGAGACTTTCTTTCTTTACTTAGGACAAAATTATCACAAACAAGTCAAATGTTGGATAAAGTACAAAGGATTTGCTTTCTGGATTCTCTTCAAGAACCAGAGACTTTTACACAAAAGCAAACTTTGCTTCACCCAAATCTGCTTTTAATTAATTTAATAAACTTGGCTAAATACAAAAAGAGTGACCCACACAGTGACATTTTAAAGCACAGTCAAGTAACTATGTTATTTCCAGTTTTATGTATGTATCAAAAACAACTTAAAGGAAATTTGACTCTGCATCATAGCCGTATCTTAAAGTATCACTCAATAACATTATAAAATGACATAAAGCTTTATAAAAGTACATTTTGCATGATAGCTCTCATTTTAAAATTTTAAAATTTTTTGTGTTGAAAACTAAAGTCAATTAAGTGATTTGAGACCTCTTGGAACCCTTCCCAGTTTTATTTGCAATATCTATAATTTCAGTTTTTATATTTCTTACCATAGTTTCAATATTAATGCTTCCATTTACAAATATATTTGCTGTTACACCTGAATTTTCAAACTGTTTTTTTTTTTTTTTGCAATAACGGATTTTCTATTCTATTATCTGTCACAGATGATGTTTTCCAACATTTTCAGCTTTTGGTAAGAATGATGCAATATGTCTAAAATTGTTCATCTGAGGTTGTATATACCCAAATTTTAAAACAATTTCAAGATGTTTTTATGTCCTTGCATGTTTTTCCGCCATGCTGCCGAGTCTTTTCTCCCAGGACTGAAATCTGCTTCAGGTGCGTTTGATCCAAACGGTTTAAACTCAGCAGTCAGATCTCCAGTTTCATCCTGACGTTGTTGCAAAGTGAATTCACTCGGCCATTTTCCAGTGCCAGTGCCAGACGGTTGTCACCATCCAGTCAGGAGAAGCTCCTGGTTTTAGCTCTCCGTGGAATCTGTGGAGAAGGAGACAAGCATGCTTTTAAAAAAAAGAGCAGAAACTGGTTTATATTTTTTTAAATTCCTGACGAAAACAGTTTGTTTTTCAGTCTCAGTTGAAAACTTAATAAAACTTTAGCTTCACCTGATTCAAATTCTGTTAAAAAAAAAGAAAAAAAAAAAGCTCCAGTTAAGTAAATTTATTTGCACCTTTTAATGTATTTACTTCAAAAATGTTAGCAGTATAAAGTAACAAACATAACAGGAAATACATAAGACTCAACTTTTGTAACCACAATAATATTAACATGTTTGAAAAGGAGTAGAAAGAAGATAAAAACTTATGAACTCCATGAACTCATACTATATTTTCAGATGGACCCTCATTATTAGATATCAAAAAAGAAAAAGGAGTTACACAAATTGAAAATAAGAAATTTACACAGTATAAATATATATTGTGATATATTTGAGTCTAAATTAAAGGATAGGGCTATTATACGCCACTGTATATAAACACTGACTTCATCTATACATAAGTATATACATTACTTAATATGTAAATTTATTTTCAGCCTTCTATAATCTTATTCATTACAACAATTCTTACTCATAGATATTTCTATACACATTACAGCAAACATAGATCTATATGAAAACATAAATCTAAGAGACTTCAAAATCAAGGTTGATTAATTTTCACCTTGAAATTGTCTAAATAATATTATATAAAAAGGCTATGTGGTTAAATTAAAGATCTTCAGAATATGCCAAATTTTTATCCGATTAATCGATCAATCATCAGAATATTTGATTATTAAAATAATCGTTAGTTGTAGCCCTGCTGAATAGAAATCCTTCTCACTCTTCAGATTCATATTTGCAAAAAACTGATTTATTTTCACAATTACTGTGTTGGTTTATCACTTAAAACTCAACAACAGAAACACTGACGTCACTGGTTGAAGCAGTAAACTGTGAAAAAGTTTTAGAGAATGTGAATATATCTGCGATTCAGTGTAATAAGATTGTGAAAGAAGGTTTCTTATCCAGCTTAGCAGTCGGTCGGCTCGCCTTTAGGATAATGCTGGCAGGTAACAGGCTTTGTCAGACCTGAACCCACAGGGACAACAATCTGGCCAACCAGATCGGCGGTATTAGGCAGAACCGCCACACGCTGCGGCCCAACAACTAACTGGATTACTGGGGAAGAGCAGAAAGAGGCTTTGACTGAGAACCGATTTCCTCCGCTTTGTTTAAGCAGCAGTTTCACAAAAACCAAACCCAATCCTGGACTTTTTGAACGCCTGTAATAGAGCCTGGGCATGGAGGAAGTGAAGAGGTTTTTTTTTTTTTTTTACTCTCTTGGAGGATTTAATAAAGTTTTTCTGTTTCTGCAGAATAACATAAGTATTTGACATTAATTTAACTTACATTTAAGCCTGTTGCAATAAGCAGTTAATCGCATCATAAATTAAAATGAGTTTGATAATTTAAATTCTGAAGATGATTTTTTTCCCCTAAAAGAAAATATTTATTTTTTACACATCAAAATGCAATTTATATTACAACAAAACATTACATTTGTGAGAAGGAAGAAAACAAAAAGTACTGCAGGTTAATAAATGAATATTAAAATATTAAGACCGTGCATGTGTGTGTGTTTAATGACATAATGTGTTGAATAAAAATGTAATAAGCAATTATCAATTAATCATTTAATCATTTGGTCAGTTAAAATGAGCTCAATAATTTCTATTCTGATGATTCATATTTTTTGAAGAGTAATTTTGTTGGTTGCTGTGTTTTATTTTCAGTTCTAGTGTTATTAAGTGTTCTTTACAAACTTAAAGTTTATTAGTCTTTGAGAGTGCTAACTTGCATTATTATAAAAAAAAAATATTTTTGTTTATTCCAATAACTTATTGTTCAGGAAAATTTGTTATTCTGATAATTATAAAAGTAACTCTTTATTCTTCAAAAAAATAAAAAAATAAAAATACTACGTTTGCCAGAAGACTCAAATGTTTCAGAAAAATACTAGATGTGCGCCATGTTAGGAAAACACAAAACTGTGATATTTTCGCCAAGAAATTGTGATGATGACAGAAGTTAACTCACATTTTCCATGTTCTCCTTCATCAAAAAGCCAGCAGCTTTCTTTGTGAGCTTTAGCATCTCTCTCTGAATAAAAATGTACATTAGGTTTTTGCATTAATCGCAGAAAAAGTCTGTCTGCCAGAAGAAGTAAATGCAGAATTTATCTCCTGCAACTAATGGTTATTTTAGTAATTGATTATTCTATCAATTATTCTGACGATGAACACATTAATCGGATAAAACATTTGGCAAACATTCTGCAGAGGTTTCATTTAACCACTTTTTTTAAAAATACAATATTAAAAATACATTAAAAGATGCAAATAAACAAATAATATAATTCATTAAAATAACTTCTAACATCAACATTTGAAAAGTTGAGCCCTTTCTACTTGATTTAACATCAATTACAGGAAGTTGTTGTTTTTTCACGGTATCTGAACCAGGTAAAGTTAAACTACGACTTTAGGAGTTCTTAGTAAAACATTATTTACATCTTAAATGAAAAATGTTTGTTTTCGTTCAGTTTTGGCCTAACCACTGCTCTAAAAATGCAAGGTGCCTTTTTTTTTAAAGTCTGTATACTCAAACGAATCGATTACTAAAACAGTTGATGATTATTTGAATAATCAATTAATCACGATTAATCAGATTAGTCGTTTCAGCCCTTTATCTGAGATATAGGTCTCATCTTCCCTAAGCGTTGCTCCACATTTTTCACAGTTTGAGTTGTGAACTCACTCATAAACTGCAGTAGCCAGTTTCTCCTGAGGGCTCCCGTCTTCTCCAGAGGTCACCTTGAAGATTTTGGTGGCCTCTGGGTCGTCTGGACCCTCGTGTGACGACAGGAACCAAAACCTCATGACGACGAAGCAGAACTTCCTACCTGCAGGGACAGCAGGGAGGATTTATGGAGACGAGACGCTGCGCCTCAGCTAGCAGCAGAAATTATGTAAAAGCTTTGAAGCGCAACTTTTCAGTGGAGCTGCGTGATTTAAAATATTCTCAGATTTTTTTTATGCCAGTTTTTCTTTTAATTTTTCTTTTCCATAAAAAAGAAACTACAAATGACAGAAAATATTTTCAAAAAGTGGATTTTAGTTCAATCATCCCTTCTGAATACAATAGAGTATTAGGGTCAGGCTACGAGACTTTTTGGTTAATTATGAAAATATAGTCATAATATTAGCAGAGTAAAGATTAAATTTTGCCAGAAACGTCTTAAAATTAAGTGAGAAAAATTGTTTTAATTTGAAAAACCCTTTGACAGTTATCAGGATCTCAGATTGTCTCATTCTTTCTTCAAAATAGTCGGTTGTTTGATTATTTCTGCTACTGATAACTTGATGCTGATGTGTTAAAAGATTAAGTATTTCTATTAAGTAAAACATATAAATATAACGTCAACATTCCTCATTTGAATTTTTTTATGATGGAGTGGTCATAAAATTTATTCTCCTAATATTATCACTTTATTTTTGTTGTAACAGACCGTAAATTATATAAAATTTATTTTCCAACTGTGTGGATTGTTCATAGATGTTTGTTTGTTTAGATGTGCGCTATAAGGGTTGTTTATAAATGTTTCTGTTTCAATTTAACGGTATTTGTCATCTTCAATTACATTTTTTCTTTTGTTTATTTTTGGACCTTATAGGATGCCATAGCGAAGAAAGCCTGACCTTATAAAAGCAGTAATTAGTTCTGACAATAGCTGGCTAGAAAACAACCACTGTCAGCAGGATTCAAATGTTTGTTTACGGTGTTAAAGAAACAAAACTGAAGTATTATGAGCTCATGTTCTTGTATCTAAATGTTTGTATATATGTTTTATTTTAATCATAATGTCATTCAAGTGTATTCTTGTAATATTAGAACTTTATTCTCATAATTAAAAATAAAAAAAATTGTAGCCTGGCACTACATATTTCATTGTAGAGTTGACCTGAATCCATAGTCCACATAAAAAGAAGTTTTAAAACAAGATGGCGGCCTTGGACGTAATGACATCACTCTGAAACACCCCAGGAGTGAATTGGTGGGGGAAAAAATGACATTTTCAAAAACCAAAACATTTTCAGGATGAACACCTTAAAATTAGAGTGAATCTCTGAAATTCAGCGTTTCCCATCAGGAGAACTCACCGTGTTCGTCGAAGACAACAGAGATGTCCTCCGGTAGCACAAATATGATGTCCTCCATTTTGACGGCGAGCTGCCTCCTCTGCGCCTTAGTGAGAGGTTTGCACTTCTCCTCCACATATTCCCTCATCTTCAGAAACAAAATAATTAGATTTCTAGTTTTTTTTTTTTTTTTAATAAAATGTTTCTGTAAATTGTTGATGTGACTCAGCATTACACCTGAAACTAATCAGGAAATGTTTTGTGGGTAAATTTTGGGTCTCATTAATGTGCTACCTCATCGGTCACGACCCCTTTCAGCTCATGGTATCTCCCTCTGGACATTTTGCTGGAAACATGGACCAAAGCCTGGGATGGAAAACGAGAAAATACTTTGCAAAACTTTATTTTTAATCAGACTTTTATATCATGATTATCTTTTTTAATTAGTTTTAATGCTTCTAATTTTATTTTAATTGTGTTATACGTAGATATGCGGCAAATAAAACCAAAGATTTTAACAGATTCTTGGCTTTGTTTTGTCTATTAGTCATTGTATAATTACAGAATCTCCCACAAATGAAAAAAAAAAAAAAAAAAAAAACTTTTGGCTGGAAAAAAAAAAAAAAAAAAAATTTATTAACCCAAACAGC